TTGGCGACGGCGAGTACCGCAGAGGATGGAACGATGAGCTGTATGAACTTTACAACGATATAGACATAGTGCAGCGAATTAAAATTCAGCGGCTCCGCTGGCTTGGTCATGTCGTTCGAATGGACACCGACGCTCCAGCTCTGAAAGTATTCAACTCGGAACCCGCTGGTGGTAGCAGAGGAAGAGGGAGGCCCCCACTGCGATGGAAAGATCAGGTGGAGAAGGACTTGGCTTCACTTGGCGTTTCCAATTGGCGTCAGTTGGCACAGAGGAGAAACGACTGGCGTGCTTTGCTGAACTCGGCCAAAATCGCTTAGGCGGTTACAGAGCCAAAAAAGAAGAAGAAGGCACTGGAAATGCAACGTAAAGCTTTGCCATTGGTAAAACGTATAACTGTGAGTTTTTTGCTCTACAAAGAATTTCGGGCAGTCACAACCCCGGAAACCCCGTTTGGTGGCGAACGGCTCGGAGAAGTCTTTCCCAATTCTGACGGAGCTGGTGGTATTGCTCAACGTCATTTTACACAGCCGTATCAGTTTGGCGGGGATGCCAAATTCAGACATAGTGGCGTATATGCAACTCCTTTTAGTGCTGCCGAAAGCGGCGTTAAAGTCGACAAATAGGTGGTGAGTGTCGATTTTTTTTTCGCGGGTCTTTTTCAAGATTTGGCGTATTGTGAATACCTGGTCTATGGTCGATTTTCCAGGCCTAAAGCACACTGATAAGGTCCAATCAGTTCATTGACGGTGGGCTTCAGTCTTTCACACAATACGCTCGATAAGACATTGTAACCTATGCGGTAGTTGGCGCGAATGGCGGGGTCACCTTTCTTGTGGATTGGGCAGAGCACACTTAAATTCCAGTCGTCGGGCATGCGTTCATATGACCATATTCTGCACAAGAGTTGATGCATGCAGCTTATCAGCTCCGCCGTACTTGAATAGCTAGCTGGCAGGCTGTCAGCTCCAGCAGCTTTGTTGTTTTTCAGCCGCGTTATTGCTATACGTACCTCGTCATAGTCATTCGGTGGAATGTGTCGACTCCGTGATCATCGACTGCTGGCTCGGGTTCTTCTTCTCCACAACTTTCCGTGCTGCTACCAGTTAGTAGGGCGGAAAAGTGTTCCCTCCATAATTTAAGTACGCTCTGGACATCAGTTACCAGGTCGCCATTTTGTTCTTACAGGAGTACGCCCCGGTCTTGAAACCTTCCGTAAGTCGCCTAACTTTCTGGTAAAATTTTCGGGCATTCTTCCTGTCGGCCAGCATTTCAAGCTCTTCGCACTCACGTATTTCGGCCTCTCTCTTCTTATTGCGGCAAATACGTCTCGCTTCCCTCTTTTCCAGTGCCTTATCTTCTCTTAATTCCAAAAACTCCAACTCTTCTTCGCTTTTCTGAAAAAGGAGTATCGTAAATTCATCCTCAATTATGTTACACAAAAAAGGGTTTATGGATTATGCAAACGTACATTTATATAATTTCAAAATAATTTTTCAAAATCTGCTTTTAAATCATGTGCAATATTTTTTTCTAGCCATGGAAAATGAAATATTCTTTTTTTGAAATCATGAATAAAAAGATGTAGTTTAGCTTCAAAACTTTAAATAATTTGCGACAAATTAAAAACATTTTTATTTTCTCCTTGTAGAGACAAATTCAAGTTTTGCAAATGTCCCATCATATCGGTAAAGAACTTTAAGTCAGAAAGCCAATAAAATAATCAACACTATGGAAAAGAATATCCAGCAAAGAAATATGTATTTTAAAAAGTAAACAGAACTAAAATGTTCTAAGCAAAGAGAGAAAGTAAAAAGAGCCGCACTTTTCTAAGCAAAGAACCGAATTTGGCCGCGTTTGCCCAACGTTGGCATATAGGATTCTCTGTTGGTAAGTGGACCAAGGACCGATCTATTCGAAAAAAATCTTCTTGTTCGATTTGCTTGAAATTTGGCGCGTAGGTATCTTATTACCTGGATTAACATATAGAATATTTTTTTCTGATAGGTGGATCAGGGACCGATCTATTCGAAAAAAATTTATTTATGGGCCGATTTGCTTTAAATTCGGTACACGTATTATATATGTATATACATACATAGAATTGAATGAATTATTTTCCAGTTTGAAAAGTGTTTTAAGGCGCCGCAAAACAAGTTGGTATTGGCTATTTATCTATACTTATTACACTGGTCTACAAGGGTTTTGCGAATAAGACGGGACCTGGTGTTTCCGAACGGATTTTTCGTGCTGAACACGAATCTGGGGTCCAAAACTTCCCATCACGTCACGTTTTCGAGAAAAAAGGGGTTGAAACCCCTAAAAACAGCGTTTTTGGACATTTTCGAAAAATTGTAGAGCCGAACCCTAACGTGCTACAAACTTTGCATATGTCAGAAATTAAAGGTAAAATTGTGCCCTTTCGAATGAGCCTTATGCCAAGTTGATCGCATGTGCCCTTGGAGCAGGGGGTGTATTTGTGTCTAGGGGTGCAGGAAAAAACAGCGTTTTTGGCCATTTTTGAAAAATTGTAGAGCTGAACCCTGACGTGCTACAAACTTTGTATATATCAGAAATTAAAGGCTAAATCGTGCCCTTTCGAATGAGCCCTATGCCGAATTAATCGCATGCACCCTTAGATCAGGGGGTGTATTTGTGTCTAGGAGTCCAGGGAAAATTGATCGCAGAAAGAATTTCATCTTAAACGACCATATAAAATGAATGATGCTAAGGTCTTAACTACTGCAGATTCGTAATCAGCGACTTTTAATATAGTTAAAACCTTGGCATTATTAATTTTCTATGATCGTTTAAGATTAAATTCTTTCTGTGATCAATTTTTCCTGCACCCCTAAACACAAATACACCCCCTGCTTTAAGGGTGCACGCGATCAATTCGGCATAGGGCTCATTCGAAAGGGCACGGTTTAGCCTTTAATTTCTGATATATGCAAAATTTGTACCACGTCAGGGTTCAGCTCTATAATTTTTCGAAAATGGCCAAAAACGCTGTTTTTAGGGGTTTCAACCCCTTTTTTCTCGAAAACGTGACGTGATGGGACATTTTTGACCCCGGATTCGTGTTCAGCACGAAAAATCCGTTCAGAAACACCAGGTCCCGTCTTATTCGCAGAAAAAAAGTTGAAATTTGTAGACCAGTGTTATCTATAACAATCATATAAAGAGAAGTTCCATCTTTTTAGACACCTTTTGGTTATAGGCTGATAATAATTTCGATATATCAAGGAAGCGTGTCATCTCCCATAAAAATCGAATTTTTCATACCACTCTCATATCTCTGAAAGTAAGTATTTGTGGTATGGAAATTTTGAAATCAATCCAATACTCGTGGAGAAAAGTGGAGGCTATTGGAAAAGGGGCCGTGGAGCCTTCCAAATATACTGAAACCTTTATCCATATATCTTTAAATACATTCGGTACATATGCTTGTGGGCGAACTTAAACGACCGAAATTATTTTAATGAAATTTTGTTGGGTCCCTGTATAGTTAGGTTCACAACTTAAAACGCCGGGTCGCGCTGGAGTCGAGTTATTACCAAAAAAATCGTATTTATGATCTGCTAATAGCTAATATTCAATAAATGTATTGGTAAAGTTAAGAGAAATAATCTGCGAAAAATTGCTCGCTAGGTGGCTGTGGCGACAGAATAAAGACAATTCATTATGAATGCTTACAGATATAATTGTAAGTCATTTATGGTATTTCGTCTAAAATAAGTCTATGCATATTGGATTTCTGTGGATCTATGATACTCCCCCATTTTGGAATTGCCACCAAACTATACTTACAGATTCAAAGAAGATTTATCATCGAATCGGATCATTGTTGCCGCAAGAACTTCTTCACGGACATAACGCTTTCGTTAGGTTGTTTAAGACGGCAATGGAGGATATTCTCTCTGACGACCACAAAACCAAACGTGAACATGAATTGTGGTGAAAACGTTGGACCAAATGTTTCAATGAAAACATAAAACTTGGGCGGGACGAAGTTCGTCGGGTCTGCTAGTAATACATATGCCTGCTGTTAAATTGAGATCTGCGCCTAGAAATTGACTTTCGGGCGCGCCAATTTGGAGCCTTTCTGTGGCACGATTCCCTGGAGGTTTTCGCATTTTCAATGGGTGCAATTCGCCATTGCGAGGAACGCAAGTTCTTCGTAGAGAGCTATAATTTGACCTGCCAGGCAGTTGATGCTATTTAGCAGAGTTCAGGGACTCCAATACAGGGCCAAAATTTATGCATTAGAATATTAAGCAACTTTACGGGATATACACAAAATTGCAAAAAAAAAAAATCTTTACTGTCCAAGAAGAAACTAAAACACCATTGATTATAAAATCTACCCTTTGGCAGCCCTACAGTGCCGTACTAACCGGTGATGGAAAAGCAGGCTCAATAGTGCCATTTTCGACACTTTCATTCACAAGGGCAATTTTGCACATTCATTCAGTTTTGGCACAATCATAAAATATAGAAATTTAGCATAATACGGCAGTGCATAACAAACAATCATCTATTACTCATAGATTCGAAAAGTGAAAATTAAAATCACTTAAAAATTATAATAAGGGCCATTATATAAAATTAATAAAAATTATTCAATATAAAGAAGAAAAGCCAAAACTGATCAAAATGTCGCACTGCTATTATTTCGCACATAGGTATGTATGTGTATGTGTAAACATTGTGTTATTTTACTATGATTTTACTCTAATAATTCAATGAATTAATAAGTATTATATTATTTCAGTGTACACTAAATATACTATTTCTAAAAATACATTTGTGGTTCTTAAAAACACTTAAAATAAAGCAATTTCAATTTTATGGCACTTTCATCTCCGTTTTGGCACTATTTTTGCAGTTCATTAGGCACATTCGAAAATTTTGGAATTCCATCCCTTATACTAACCGGTATTTGCTTTTATTCAGACGTTTACCAGCAATATTTACATAAGCATGTGTGCATGCGATTGTGTTGGATATAGAAACAAAATCTGTATTTGTATGCTATTGTTAAATTGTTAATTCTTAACTGCTCAACTCTCAGAGGTCACTTGATACTAACTATGTATGTACTCAATTTAAGTTAAACGTGATCAAACTGAAAGCCTTTTCGAAACGTTACTCTTTCGATATTTCAGTAACCACTCGTACTTCACTGCACATGCATACAAAACACGGAAAGCTTGGCGTATAGCAACTTCAATAAAGTTAGAACTACCGCAGAGCTCGACTCGGTATTATAACAATCATACATTTTTACATTTCATATATTTGAAATATTTCTCAAGCGATTGAAATAAGCCTTAAAAAAGTTTTAGTTTCAGTGTGATTCTTTGGCTCAGAACTTTCTCAAAAAAAATAAAGCAAACCAGAAACTAGTTTTAGCACCTGTGTATACAGATGTATGTGAAATATCTGCATTGGAGCTAATTTTGTGTTAGAAATTTAATAATACGCTGAACTGATGTGAGAAAAAATATTATCGGCTTGTTCATTCAAAACTTTTGTATACGTTTCTAAAAGCTTACGTGCATACATACATACATATGTATGTATTTATGTACATACATATGCGTTAGTACTTGAACAAAACAATAATGTATAAACACGAAGGCAAACATTTGGAATTTTAAGCACGAAATGTGAGTATCATTGTTGCGCAATATCTTAACTATGAAGATATTATATAAGCACATCAATATATCAACTGAAGACAATACCGATTATATTTTAATTTACCTTATGATCTTGGATGATTTCATGCGCTTGAATTGCACACACGCATATGTACATACATACATGTGAGTACGTAAATGCGCACGCTAGAAAACATTCACACCCTGCAGGGAAAGCCCGATATAGTGAATCATATTTTCTGGCCAAAAACGAACCAGTCTGATAGCAACTAGATCCCGACCAGTTCAAAATCAGCAAAATGTGGTACTTTTAAAAAACTATTTCATTTAACTTTTTTTTTTAATTATATTGATGTAAGAAGCAAGAAAACAATAGTCCCTATAGTAATAAGTTACAAGGCCGGCAAATGCTATGCAAGTGCTTGAAAAAGCTTATTTTGCATATTTTTAGCAAATTTTTTTGGTTTTTGCATATATTTCACTTACGTGCATATTTTGCAACATTTCATACATTTTCGGCGAAATAAGGCGCATTCATACATATGTTTTTATACTTCTGCTACCACCTTGTATGAATTCGCCTTGGTACAATGCGAGGCGAATTCAAAACAATTCGCCTTGCGTGTAAATATTTTTGTATGTAGGTTTTTATGTATATATATGAACGACCAACGCGCAACTGACCGAACGGGTAATTCCGATTAAACAATAAACCTGTTTTATTTCGGTGGTTGCAATGTCGAAAGATTGATAATTTAAAAAAGCTTGACATTTTATACTGGTAAAATGCTGTAAAAATTAGATAAAACCTCATTGATTTAGCATATTTAAGAGCATATTTTAGCGATTTATTGAGATTTTTATAGCGCATATTTTCAGTTTTTTTTGTGCATATTTTTGCTTGGCCTGGTAAAGAATAAAAACAATTCTCATTAAAAATCTATATCTAAAGTAGCAAATTTAGAACTTGTTCGGAATTATATAACCAGGGATGCAGAATGAACTATATCTTATCTGTCGAATTTAGAACTAGTACGGAACTATTCAAAAAGGGATGCAGCGGGGGGCTTGTTTGATTTACATAGATATGTGTTTGGTGGGTTTTTCTTTCAAGTACGCTATTATTCTGGACTTCACAGATGGTTTTTCATAGTTTGCTAATACAAATCCAAAATTTGTGTTAAAACTTTAACATGTTGAGACCTTGTTTGATCTAACCAATAACAGCAAGCATCTCTGCCTCAGCTACAGCCAAAGGTATGTAAAAGTACATTTCTTACCATCATTCAAACAAATTTAATTTCAAATTGAAAACACATTTCTTTGAAAATAACTAAAAATCGCACAAATGGCAAAACCAAACAAACCATGATACTTTTTTCTTCTGTCGATTTTAGAATTGGTTCGGTACTATAGAATTTAGGACTATCGAAATAGAATCCAGCATAGGGCAATTAACACTTCGTAGGACATCACAGAATAATAATTATTTCATGGTGGAGTTTTAAAGAGTCGTCCAATCATTAGAATTATAAAAGTCTTTTGATAATAATTATGTGTGAAAAAAACTTTTCAAGTCATCGATAACTATTACTTTAAGACTTATATAAATAAAGTCTTATGGGGCTATTTATTCAACCACCAATTTAATCTTTAGTAAATGTATAATGAAACAAATTTTACAGCTTAACAGAACCGCGTGGTAAAAAAGATATTGCAGTTTTTTTGCTTGACGAAGAACGATGAAAAAAGAGAATGTAAAAAATTATGCAGAGTTGCCTTTAGTGCTGCCACAGCTACCCTGCCCCTACTGATGTCTCACGATTTATACGTTGATCGCAAGGTGCTGACTTGCGAGTATGACTCCTTAGAACCTTTGTTGGTTGAGTGAGTTCTCTCTCCATGAACGCAGGCTTGAGCCTCTTGATTGAAATGTTTTGAGGCTTGCCGTTGATTTCGATGTTGAACACGCGATCGCTTATACGTTTTACTACTCTATGTGGTCCTGTGTACGGAGGTTCGAGTGGTTTTTTAATGTGGTTACTACGAAGGAAAACGTGACTGCATGAAAAATGTCTTTGTGAATAATCGCTTTTTTGTTGCTGTGATGTGGGGCGGGAACCGGACGCAGTTGTTGCATGTATTGTCGAATTTTGGGTAAGAACTGCGACGTGAACTCGCATGATGGTGTACATTTGAAGGCTGCTTTGCCGAAGCGAATGTGGTATTTACAGACTTTTTGGTTCGAGCGCCTGGAAGTCGCCCTTTATGTTAGTGGAAAGCTCACTGAGTTTTAAAGCAATTTGATTCATCGATTCCTCCGAGGCCGTGACTCTTACTTCGAACTTTTGCGGTTTGTGTTTGTTGATTGCGACGCAAGATGCGGAGTTTGCAGACGAGTCTAATTCGTATACGTTTGTTGGTGTATTGTCGACTATTTTGTCTGCTATTTTCGCTATCTCCTCCGGATCTGTTGATGTGCATGACAATAATATGCACCTGACGTTGTCGAGCATACGTTATAGCCATAAGGTTGTTAGTGCATCGCGATGCATTGTTGATCCCGCAAGATCCTGCATTTCTTGTAGGAGCTGGCTAGGTCTTTGACCGCTACTAAGAACCGTGCCGAAGAGTAGTTTCAGGAGGAGTTTTTCCTTAGAGATGCCGAAGCGAGTTATTAGTTCCTCTGATTCCGGCGGATTTTTGGCGATGTCAGAAACTTGGCGTAATGTGTCGGTGTCCAAGGCAGCGATGACGTTGTTGAATTTTGAAACATCTGAAGTTATGCGGTTAACGAGCAGAAGTCCATCGATTTGTGTGAACCACCGTTCGGGATCTGCACCCATGAAACGCGGTAGTTTGAGCGAACCAATTGCACCGACATGTGTGTGAGGTACTACCTGCTGGTGCTCGTTTGCCGCGGTGGCCTTTGGATCACCGTGTTCAGTGTTCTGCTCATCTGCTAATTGTGGTGGCATCCTGGTTTAGTTAATGTCAATGATGCGTTGGTAGTTTTACTTTCTTATCGGGGTCACCAATTATGGGGATATTTATTCAACCACCAAATTAATCTTTATTAAATGTGTAATGAAACAAATTTTATAGCTTAACAGAACCGCGTGGTAAAAAAGATATTGCAGTTTTTTGCCTGACGAAAAACGGTGAAAAAGAGAATGTCAAAAATTATGCAGAGTTGTCTTTAGGGCTGCCACAGTCTTTTCATAATAATTATAAGCAGATAAATGTTTTTAAGTCTTCAAAAACTTCTTTTTGTTATTTTTTTTGGCCTTACAATAATGGAAAAGCAACAATAATTTGAAAAAATGGTAGAAGTGATAGCTATTTCGGAAAGCACCACATTTCCTTATCAGACTTATTTCAGTAGGATTCGAACCGACGATCCCACTGACTCAGCCAGTTGCCTATGCACCGTGCTAAGTACGCCTTGTAAATTATCGTTTGCTTTTTTCCACTATTTTCATTTTTGTTATGCCAACACAATCAAGCGCAGCTATTCCGCTGCAATTCACTTGATCATGTGGTTGTTGGTATAGTTGGTTTTTGCTAATAATTCTATTTTTTATAATGTTTAGCTTTTAGGTGTGCTCGTCCTTAAGTTATTTGTTTTTGTTATTTTTTTGGCCTTATAATAATTATATTCAACAATTTATATTGAGCTCGACGCCGTTTTTTAAATGAAAATTTATTGTGGAAAAGCAACAATAATTGGAAAAAATGGTAGAAATGATAGCTATTTCGGAAATCTCCACATTTCATCATCAGACTTCTTTCAGTAGGATTCGAACCGACGATCCCACTGACTCAGCCATTTGCCTATGCACCGTGCTAAGTACGCCTTGTAAATTATCGTTTGCTTTTTTCCACAATAAATTTTC